TTGATCCTAAAACCATAAAATGTGTTTTCATAGGATAAGCAAGTCATGGGAAGGGTTTTAGGTTTTATAACCACTTGAATCGTAATGTGATTGAAAGCTTTGATGCCCATTTCGAGAATTAAACCAAAAGAGAGTAGACTTCCATGAGCTTCAACCTAATAAAGAAATTGAAACCATCCCACTTAAGCGAAGTGAAAGGATAAAGAAACCACCTACCTTTTTCACTAACCTTGAGGACGACTATGAGAGGATTAGTGAGAACCCGATGATAAACCTTATTCTTACCTACATGTTATGTCTTTTCCGGATAATAAGTTATGAAAGGAAGCCATACAAGATGAGATAAAATCTCTCATAAAGAACCATGTATCATAAAGAACCATGTATGGGGAGTTAGTCCGATTACCACCTAACCTTAGATCCATTGAATGTAAGTGGATATTCAAAAAGAAACTTAACTCCGAAGGGCGTATTGAAAAATACAAGGCAAGACTTGTAGCAAAAGGTTCTACGCAAAAGGAAGGGGTAAGATTATTTCGACACCGACTCACTTGTTGCCAAAATGCCTGCCATTAGGATGATCATATCCATAGCAGCCTACCTTGACCTTGAATTCATCAAATGGATGTGAAAACCGCCTTCTTAAATGGTGACCTAAAAGAGGATATATACATGAACCAAACGGAGGGTTTTGTTGTGAAAGAAAGGAAAAGTTCGTGTAAAAACTTAACAAATCACTTTATGGTCTCAAACAAGCTTCAAGAAGATGGCTCCTCAAGTTCCACCAAACCCTGATTAGTTATGGATTCAAACCAAATGAGGATCACCATTCTACTAGCTAGTAGCACCCTAGACTATATAAGGGACACAAAGGCAATGCTATCAAGTAATTTTGATATGAAAGATATGGGAGAGGCTTCATATGTGTTAGGGATTCATATTATAAGAGATAGGGCAGCCCGCACTATTCAATTATCTCAATCTACATATTGCAAAAAAGTTCTTGAGAGATTTGGTATGAGTGAATCCAAGCCTATAGATACACCTGTGGAAAGGAGAGGAAAATTAAATGTCAATATGAAACCAAACAATGATATTGAGAGAAATGAGATGGAAAGGATCCCGTATCGGAGTGCCGTAGGATCACTAATGTATTTAACCATGGGAACTAGACCCGATCTAGCTTTTGCTCAAGCTTGATTGGTCGATTCCAAAGTGATCCTAGATTAGAACATTGGAAAGCCGTGAAAAGAATCATGAGGTATTTGAAAGGAACATTTGATTATGGATTAACCTATGGCAATGTGAGTGAGCTTAAAGTTTTCAGATACACAGACTCTGACTATCAAGGAGACCCGGATGACTCAAGATCCACTTTGGGTTATCTATTTCTTTATGGGGGTAGTGCCATTTCTTGGCGCACCAAGAAGTAGGACACTGTAGCCCTATCTACCATGGAAGCCGAGTATATGGCTTTAAGTTCTGCAACTTTAGAAGCTATTTGGATAAAGAAGTTCTTGAATCATCTTAACTTCAACGCTCTAAAACATGGAACTATTAGAATCATGCGTGACAATCAAGCTGCAATAGCAGTGGCAGTTGAACCAAGGTTCCACAGCAAGTCAAGGCACATTAAAGCTCAATATCAGAAAGTAAGAGAAGAGATAGCAGCTGGTGAAGTAGAAGTTGGTTACATTCCATCTGAGGCTATGCATGCAGATCCATTAACTAAAGGCTTGGGGGCAAATGCATGCTATCCGATTAGATTCAAACATTTTTCATTCTGTTTTGGATGATAATGCCAGTGTGTTGAGATCTTAAGAAGTGATTTTAAGGTGTGTAACTTCTTCCCATTTGGACTAGACACTCTTGTGAGATTGAACCACTTTTGTACAATCCGAAGGGACAAAATTAAGTCCTTATAGGGCTCGATTGCGTGGCCCTGCACAAGGGGCTCGAAACATGCCTTCCCAATTTTAATTTGGCATTTTAATTCCCTGTTTAGTTGATATTATTCTTTAGAATTTTGTTTAGATTAGTTGCATAATGTATTTAAGCTTTGGGACATAGTTTATATAATTTGTGCTATGAAAGTGTAATTCATAAGCTAGTCTTGCTTTATATGTAATTACCCCATAAGGGGTTGGTATTTGAGTTTATTTACAGTGGTTATTCAACGCTAGAAATGGTTGTAATTGTTATGCAAAAGGACTACAACTTATGCACTTAGCTTGGTTTTTAGCAAGTGGCTTGTTGAACGTGTCCATTTTGCCTTGTTTTTCGACTTGAAAATTTTCTCTAGTCTTTGTATCCACTTTCAGATTCGACACATCTTTAGAAACCATTTTTCGGAACCAAAGAAACTCGATTCCTTAATTTCGAAATCTCTATTCAACACATCTTTAGAAACCATCTACCGAAACCAAGGAAACTCGATTCCTCAATTCCAGAATCTCCATCCAACACATCTTTAAAAACTTGAACCCATTAATTGTGGGTAGACGTTCCCAAATATATCGAATCTAGATTCCAACGAGGATTAAATCTTAATTCCACGTCAATTGGAGTAGAAATCTTCCTTTGAATGCTTCTAATGGTTTCAGGGTTTCATTATTTTACTTGTGCCACCCTGGATGGCCTTTACTTTAAATTTAAAATATAGCTAGTAAATACAACACATACAATTAAAAGTAAACCCTGGCATAGACATAATCCTATTTTGTCTTTATAATAATGAAGTCAAAATCATAATTTAGAAATACTTGTATTTTGTATATAATGACTGTAAGTTCAATAGTCAACACAATCACTTTAAAATTTGGGAAACCATCTAATAAGAGACATGCAATATAGGTTCTAATGTTGATGGGGCTCAAGATGTGCTTATGGTTTCCTTCTCCATAAAAATGAAATCTCGATTCCCGGTAGGGGTCGTCAAACCCATTCCATATTCCATATTATTGCAAATCTCGATCTCAAACGGGCATAGATCTCTTATCCATATACTTCAGAAACTTGATTTCAAATATGTTAGAATCACGATTCGAAACAACAACATATCTCTATTCCATGTGTTAGTAACTCGATTCTGCATAGTAATAAATCTTGACTCCGGGAGTGTCGATTCCAAGGGAATACGAATCTCGATTCCAAGGAGGACAAAATCTCGATTTCATGTGGATGGAACTTGGATCTATTTTGATCAAAACACGATTCTCAAAAACTAAGAATCTCGTTCCTAGCGATTCCTATTGTACGGACAACAATTCCTAAGACAGGAATCTTGTAGCCGGCCGCGATTTCGGTTCCTGAAACGATTCAAGTTCCCAGGCGTTTCCAACAACTATGGTCCAACCACATTTGTTCTGTGCTGACCCGTTCTATATGTATATGCATATGTGTGTATATATGCACACACCCACACATATATATACCAGTGCTACGAGTATTTTACTCTTATACCCTTATTGGGCATGTGATATTAAAGTGTACACATTATATGGATAAACAACAAATATTACAACTAAAACAATGTCTAATAAACACAAATACCAAGTACCATATTACCTAAGAAACAGTTAAAGTTCGGTTGTCCAACCACATCTGTTATGTGCCGACCCGTTCTATATGTACATGTATATGTCTGTATGTATGCATGCACACACACACACATATATATCAGTGCTAAGACTATTTTACTCTTATAACCTTATTATGCATGTGATATTAGTGTGGACACATTATATGGATAAACAACAAATATTACAACTAAAACAATATATATAGTACACACAAATATCAAGTATCATATTGGCAATAGACAAACAGTTAAATGACAACTGAAACTGAAAGGAAACTAGAAATTTTCAAATTGGAGAATATTTGCATGTTTATATAAACAACTACAAGATGCATTCATGAAAATGAAATTTATGGGAACTTGGTTTTCTTGAATAAGGACAAGAGTAGAGTCTCATGAGGGCCAGACATGTGTAGTAAGTAGTCCCTGCAGTCACGATGGACTGGTCTGCTCTTATTTTATACTTTGGTCTCTCCGTTCCAAGGAGCTGTATGCTCATTTTCTACATAATTGCATGTATTTGTCATTTTCATGGTCCATGTTAATTAAACATAAATACGCTGAAACTTAATGTTAAAAAATAAGGCTCAAATAAATGGTAGTTGTTATCACAACCACTAAACACTATCATTGGCCCACTCAAACTGGCGTCTTAAAACTTAGGAGAAGACCAAAGGCCTTTCCCCGCCCGCGTAAGGACCTAGGCAGAGTGCCTAGGCGGTTTGCGCATTGGCGGGCACCTAAGCGGCACCCAGTGCCCTTCGACAACAGAGCGGAAATATGCCAACTGCCGAAGGAAAAAAAGTCATTTTCCCCCCTCAAAGAGGGGGAACAGTTTAGATGGGCATTTTAACCCCCCCCCCAAAACCTACTTTGCTTGTAATAGAGAGAGAGAGAGAGAGACTCCCCAAATAAAAGATTCTTGTTTGAGTTTTTTTTTAAATTGGGAGTATGGAGTTGGACTTTTTTTCCTTTTTCTTTGTTTCACTTGGCAATGATGAACTGATATTCTGGAATACTGGTTTTGGAAAATGGGTGCTGGAATATTGGGCATTTTTTTTCTTTTTTTATTTGACTTTCAGACTCTTAAGTACTTCAATGGCAAATTAATATTTGATATATGAAATCCGTATTTTTCACCATTGGAAGAAAGTATTCCTCCAGATTGAAAATTATAATAGTCCTGCTACTGAGGGTAATAATAATAAGCAAAGAACAATTAGAGGAGACAATTTACTCCAGAGGTTTCTAGTTATATGAAGCAGCATTTTGATGCATCTCCACAAGCAAAATATGGGATCTCAAGTTAAATGGCAACAGCCCACAATCAGCAGACAAATTCTAAGGAGCATAGTTTATTTCCTTCCTACTTCCTCTTCTAGACATTTATATATGCAGTAACACCCAAGCGCTAACTTACATGGACAGGACGGTCACCAAGAATAACCTTGGCTCCATAACTCACTGCTTCTTCATACGCAATACGAAACTCAGAGCCAGGTAAGACTTCCAGTGTCTCAGCAGCCTAGTTGAAAATTTATTTACAAAAATGTGGCATTATTGGATTGACATAAAAATTTATCATAAAGAGCACAAGGTAACAAAGAGTAAATATCTTGAATTCAGATGCCGAGGCACTAAAATCTAAAAAATACCACTCTTGCATAGTAAAAATTGGAAACAATACCTTGGCAAGAAACCAGCTATACATAATTCCTAAAGCATTCATCTTCTTTTTCCTCCACATGTCGATCATATCATTCATACTTGGGACCTGTAAAGTTCAAGAGACGAGCACAACTACTTTAATCCACAAAACTTGAACTTCATAACACCATGCTGAAAATGAATTAGGTCAACAAGCGTCCAGGAAGAAAACTACAACCCATAGGAAAAGAAATACAGAGAACAAATTTTTATGCTGAAGCTTTCAGGTAACATTCATTTATGTTAAGCACATCAATAAGAAATGTACTGCACATCATAAACAACATTTCCTTCAAGTACTGTAAAAAAACGTGCAGGCAATAGGAGTACAAACGTAGGTAATACATGCAAAGAAATTAGAAGACCTGAAATTTTTAAGCATGCACATACTTCGTTGTAAACATTAAGTTAAATGGAGATGCTATTTCAGAAAATACAATCGACTCTACTAAATATCCATCCTTTGACAAGCAGACAGTGCAGGATGATCATGTCAGATGATCACCCATGAAAGCAATGGAAATGGAGATGCTATATAAGAAAATAGAATTGAATATACCATATAAGATAGAACTTAACAAATCAAAGCAATCCGTCCTTGTGACAAGGAGCAAGCAGACTGTGCAGGATGACCACAAATAATAAAGAACCCAAACTCCACCCCCCAACCCAAAAAGGACAAGAAAGCAAAAAACAAAAAAACAAACATATCCTTCACACAAAAAATAAAGCCCATGGTTCTCCATAAATCAAACATCTCAACTCACCACCCATGAATAAGGCCCACAGTTGAATCATTTTGCACCTTTTGGGCCTTCTACCCATTGTCTTCTGTCTTAACTTCATCCATTCACCCACATAGGTTCACCCCATAATCTCAGAAGGATGTCACATTCTTGCAATCAATGTTCGAAAATTTCGCCGCCCGACTGCCTAGGCGGCCGCTCAGGCTAAAAACTTTTCAAAACGCTTAGGCGCAGTCTGGGTGGGCACATTAGGCATTTTTGCTTCTGGGCACCGCCTAGGCGCTATTGTCTAGGCACCCACCTAGGTGCCGTCCCGTGACAACTTGCGTGCGGCTGAAAAATAACCCTCAGTGAGGGTAAAATAAGTAATTTTTTACCCTTAAAAAGAGGGCGAAGGGGTTTTAGGGCGTATTCTAAACCCCCAGTAGAAAATCCATAGCAATTAGGGTGAGAAAAACCCCTCAAAAACCACTATTTTGTGATTTATCGAAAGATTGATATTTTTTTTATTTCTCGATTTCTTCCCAAAACGAAAGCAATAGTTTGTGGGTGGATTTGGAGCTTCTAATAGTTTATTTTGATAACTTTTGGAGACCCAATAGATGAGGTTTGCACCGGCATCGATTTGATTTTGATATTTCTAAAGTATTATCATATTTGAAAGAGGGTTTTGATTTTATTTTGCTACAACATATTATGTTATTAGTCATGGGCTTTTTTCTTTAACTTTTTTTACTTTTATGGTATATTTACATGTTTGTAGTTAAAAGATTGATTTTTTTGGTGATTTATTGGATTTTTTCTCACTTGGATAATGAAATGGAGCATATATCGTATTCTTTTACGAATAATTGATTCCTTTTTTATACAATGTGTCTTATTTTGATATTCTATTTTTTTTGTTTTAGTTCATTTAAGAAATAATTGATTATGTGATATCTTAATGGGTTAAGTCTTATGTGAAAGTGAAACTAAAGTCTTAAAATGTCTTACATATACAGTTATTCATTTAAGGCTTATTGTAAAGTAATAGTGAGTGTCTTAGTGACTTAATTCTTTAATCTTATGTATTTTACAGGTTTGTTGATTAGGTGATTGATTCTAAATCACATTGATTGACACTCGATCAATTATTATTCATTGAGGATAATGGCTTCTAATGCATCAAGTAGGCAAACTGATCGAAGTTGGAAGTATGGAACTTGTCCAAATCCTCTTCACAAGAATAGGATCAAGTGCAAGTTTTGCAAAAACTGTTACAACGAGGAGTTTGAGGCTCTAAAATTGCCCTAAAAACTCCCTAAGGCTGAAGGGGGGGGGGGGGGTTGTTTATATTGGTGAGGGCACCCCGTCCTTGGGCGCCCGTCTAGGCGGGTGCCTGACCTCCTAGGCGGCTAAGCACCCAAACCGCCTAGGCGCCCGAATCCCTGTTTTTTAACATTTGCTTGCAATGCCAATTCATCAAACTCTAGAAGGCTTCTGTAGATATTGAAGCTCCTCTAGAGAACCACTCTTCACCACCAATTCTCATGACCTATGAACCTTAGAATCTAGATTCCTAGGGTGAGTGTAAAGAACAAAAGTTTCAATCAAATTTTTTTGAATTCACTTGGGAATTTTCATATATGGAGTGGGCACCATAGTTACAGAATCTAGATTAGGACGGGGGGATCATGAGAAGCTGAAAGCACCCTATGGCAGGGATTGTGATAAATACACCCTGAAATCTAGAAATCGTGATCCCAATATGTGGGGGAGCTCGATACAAACTTAACTAGGATCAAAGGATAAATTATAGAGGACCAACCTCCAACTGGGTAAAAATCAAGGTCTTTTAGAGCAATTAACTAGTATGGTAGTTTAGTATATACTATTGTACTATACTACAACACTATACTACTGATTGTATTCTACTGTATTAGACTATATGCTACTATAGCCAAATTTATTATATACAGCTAAAAAATATGTACTATAATATAAAATATATACTACTATGTTATTCCACATTGCTAGATAACTATACCATACCATATTGTTATATACTGCCATACCATACTAAAGTGCTAGGAATCTAGATCCCTTGTAACTCACAATGAGATTCCAAAATTTAAAAATTGCAGAAGGAGACTACCTTCCCTGTAGTGCAGAAGCGATTTTCCAGAGCGGTATGTAAAAGTGGATGATGTGAACCAGTGTTCCAAAAATTCCAGGCGGCGCTTAGGCAGCCTGGGGGGGCCAAGCCTCCTAGAACCTAGGCAGGCACCAGAAGCTAGAAGGCCCAGTAGAAAGAAAAGTTGTTTGAAGGTCAGATTTTGTGTAAAAAATTAAACAATACATATTGAGACATTTTTGTCCATAATTCCGTGCATTTCAAATTGACACATATTAAAAAATACATATTGAAGCATATTAAAAAAATTCATATTTGAGGCAAGACATTAATTCATCATCAAGAAAATGAAAGAGAATAAGAAATAACACATAAGGGTTAGGGGACACATCAAATATTTATAGTCCACATCCACATAGCACATGCACTCCTCCATACTCCATAAGTCCATATCCAATTATCTTTGGACCACACGTAGTTAAAACTTAAAAGTTTAGAAACAATAGTACATAAGAAAGAGGAGGAAACAAAAATGAAAAAAATATACTTGAAGTCTAAAAAGAGTCTTCAATCATCACTCATCATCAAAAAAAGTAGGGTCAACTGCATCTGCATTACATGCATCAGTGTCCAGGCCATAATCATCGGAATTATTTCCCTCCTCGAAAAAATGGTCGTCCTCCTCTATCTCTTCTGAAGCTGCCTCTGCTTCCTCCTGCACCTTCGTCCTCTGGAAAGAAGATCTAGTGGCCATAGGAGGGTCAACTGATGTCCCTAGGCCTCGAGCACATCATCACCAACCAACCACTCCATAGCATTATCCATATTTTTTGATCTGAAGAAGCCTCTCTTATCTCTCCTAGCAAACCTGTCCTTCAAGTTTCGATTTACTTGACATAGACTAGGTCATTGAGCCTCTTTGATTCAAGCTTGTTCCTTTTTTTTGTATGAATCTAATAAAATCAAATAACACTAATTACTATTAATAATTAAATATATAATACTACAAAACTACAAATTTACAACTGACAAAAGTAACTACCAACTAAGACTAAGCAACTAGTAAATACTAAAGTACTAATACAAATTAGTAAATTGTAAACTAAATTACAATCTCAAGAGTATTCCAATTCCGCTCATAGCCAAATGAGGTAGTGGTTAGGCACAAGATCCGAATAGCCAACTTTTGTAAATTTGGAGCACTACATTCATGTTCGCTCCACCAATTGGCTGCACATCTACACACTTATTAAATCCAGTCATAATTATGTCATTTGTGTGTATATCCCTATTAGCATAAAAAAAAACCTGGGTTTCAAATAATAACCAGCTGCATGTAATGGTCGATGTAGCTGCCTATCCCACTTTTCAGCAATAATCTTCCAAACATGTACATAGCGGCTCATATCATCATCTAAATTATGGGATATCTCTCTCTTATGTAATCCATGGAGGGCTTGTCACTATCAACCATATGAAGGACTTTGACAAGAGGAAAAAAATACCTTAAAAGCGCCCTTCACCCCTCGTCAAAGAGCATTAGAAAGGATAATATCTCTCACCTTCTTCCATTTCTAATCCTTGGATCATTTGCATGCTCTCCACTCATCTGAGATAAATATTTGCCTGAACTGGACTCTTCTCAAATGTATGCTATCTAGGCATAGGTACTAGATAGCAAATCTCGTGACCCCGGGCCCTACAATCTCTTTCTGCTTTGTAAATCTAAGCATCATGTTAAGGGTTAGGGTGTGGCTATAAATAAAAGTCGTAACTTACTTTGCCTTCTTAACTGCACCTGAAATATCGCTCAAACCGCCAAGAGTCTCAAGCATGAGGCCATACAGTGTGTTGCGCATGATGTTCAAAACATACTAGGATAAGCTACGCACAACAAATTAGCAGCAACAACATTAGGAACAGCATTATTTGTGACAACTTGTATAATATGTTGCTCCCCAACCTCCTTGATTCCTTTCTCCATCACTTCAAATATGTAATGGGTATCATGGTTATAAGAGACAATAATAAACCACAAAAAAACAGTTCCTAAAGAACAAGTCACTGGGAAATTCATCTTCCTTCTCTTTTTATCACTCCAAGAATCAGTCATAACAGAAACCCTATACTGAGCTCATGCATCTTTCTGAACCTCAACAATCTCCCTCGTGACGATCACCAATGTTTTCAAAAGAGGCTCTAAAAGCT